GGGTTTGTGGAATGCTCAGATGAAAGGAACAAAGCTCTAATTTTGTTAATAATGTAACCCCTGTTGTCGGTAAACCCACTGAGGCAGATGAGAACAAGGAAAGATGCGCTGGAATCAAAGATACCACCAACACTCAAGGGAGGGCCAGCTTGGTGCTCTTAGGGTTCATGGCCGTGGTAGCTTTAGGAGCGCGGCCCAATGTAAAGAAGGTGAAGCGTTAATGCTCCCATGAGGAGCTCCCAGCTAATAACAGATGGGTTGGTGGACAAAGTTCAGCAAACTCGCCCTTCAGGTGGGGAAACTGCGAGGCAGGGTCTGTACCACCTCCCACAGTTGCCTGGAGGGTCTGAGCTCCAGCCGCCCACAGTGGCAGCTTCTCCATGCAAGCTTTATAGGCTCACCCCTCCCTAGCTCACTTCCTGTCTCAGCAGTGTTTTATGGAATCCTCTCCCAAGTAAAGTATTTGCTCTTGAACCCTTGTCAATTCCACTCTAACTGGAAACATCATGTGTTTTCCCACCCTTCCCATCTCCTTGAGATCCTAACCCCTCTTGTCCTGCCTATCATATTGTCAGAGTCCCGGATCTCACTTTGCTACAGTCTAGGCCTCATAGATCTCCCTCTCCGCTGAAATCAAGATACTCTTCCCTACTCAGTTGGCAGTGAGTCAGACACAGTATACTCCTCCACTGTGTAGTGGAATCAGACATGCGCACCTGGCCATCAATCCTGACTCCGTTACTTACCAGCTATGAAACCTTGGGCAAATCACCTAAACTCTCTGATCTTCAGTTTCCCCTCTGTGAAAGAAAGGAAACATTCCTTACCTTGTCAGGTTGTCCTTTTGATTTAATAAGCTAAATGTATAAAGAATCAGGATATTGCCTAATACAAGAAGATATTCCAGAAATGATAGTGATTTTTATTACATAATTTTCTTCCATTACTTACTTTCTTATGTGTCTCCATCTTGTTTTCCCAACTAGACTGTAGCTTCTCTGCCATATTCAACTTCTTTATCACAATGCCTTGCACATGACGGGCACTAAATAATCGTTAGTTATCAGTTTTCTAAAGCTTTAAATCAGAGGATGCACTCTTTCAATTCAAGATTCATTTATGAATTATTTGTTATTGTGAGGCATTCTCAAGGGATTTTTTTGCAGGTAACTCCTTTTCTGGGCCTCAAATTTTCTCATATAAAAAACAAATGTTTTGGCCTAGAATTCTAGATGCACTGAGGTCCTTCTAGCATTAAAGTTTGGAAGCTATGTATTCCTGAGGGCAAGTACTGTATGTTACTCTCGTCCTGACCCTTCCACACTTACTATAATGGTGGTCACAGATTAAGTGACTTCCCAGTGCACAGAGAATAGATTCCAGATGCCTCACCCAGCCTTTCCCCTAACTTTCATCCTGTCCCTCACTCCATTCCAGCCAGACTGTGTTTACTTTGCACCCCCAGAATTTTCCAAGCTTGATGTCTTGAGGTCTTTGTACTTTGCTGTTTCTTACCATTTGGTTCTCTGCTCAAGCGTCTCCTCCATGGAGGTCTCTCACCCCACCCCAGTCTCTCTATCCAACAACCCTGCTCTGTTTTTTTGTTCATGTCACGTCTCTCTGAAATTGTCTTATCATTTAGTCATTTATTTCCCTTTTTTGGTTTGCATTTTATTTGCATTTATTGTTTTTTCTCTCCACCTCTCCCTCTAGTCCCCAAACATAAACTTCTATCTTGGATCCTTTTATATCCCTGCTGCAAAAAAAAAAATGCTTCACACAAACTAGACCCCTAAATAATTGAGAAATGACTGAATAAACTCTACCACACCTTACAGAGTAGCTTTTAGGTGGTGAGGTGCCAGGTTCTAGTGAATTTAAGTATATGTCCTAAGCTAATTAATTGTCATAGGTCTGAGTAAACATGGAGTAGGAAGAAACAAGGAATTCTTAGGAAGACAACTGCAAACAATCATATCAGCTTATCTGGAAACTTGCTGGCAGTGGGAAATTTAGAGATAATTTTTAAAGATGTAATTCATTTCTTTTTATTATGGAAAATTTCAAACATAAACATGGACCCTCTTGTGCACGGTGGTGGACAAACCCTAGGGTAGCCGCTCATCCTAGTATTCAAACCCTTGTAATATCCCTTCCCCGAGTGTGCTCATCTTAGTATTCACACCCTTGTAATATCCCTTCCCCTGTGACTTGCTTTCTAACGGATAGAGTATGGCACATTTTATGTCACCCCTGTGTGATTACCTTGTGTTATATGAGATTCCATCTTGCTCTGGAGACTCTCCTTGCTGACCTGATGAAGTAAGTGGCCGTGCTGGCCCATGAATGCCAGGTGCCACCTAGGAATTGAGGGCAGTCTCCAGTGGACAGCCAGCAGAAGCCAAGGTCTTCAGGCCTACAGCTGCAAGGAAATGAATTCTGCCAGTGACCCAAGTGAACATGGAAGCTGATTCTTTTCCAATTGAGCCTCCAGATGAGAATGCAGCCTAGCCAACACCTTGATGGCAGGTGTGAGACCCTAAGCAGATGACCCAAGTGCCTGGACACCTGACCCATAGAAACTGAGAAAATAAATCTGTGTTGTTTTAAGCTTCTAGGTTTGTGATAATTTGCTGCTACAGATAACTAATAAAGATATATCTATCACCCAACATTAACAATTTTCAAGTTTGCCAATATCTATATCCTCATGTTTTTTGGGGGTGGATGGGCTGGACTATTTTAAAGCACATGCAGATATTTTTGTATGTTTCTCTAACAGAGAAGGACGATTAAAAAGCATAACCACGATGCCAGAAAAATTAAGGGCTTAACTGAGAACAAGAATAGGAGTCTTTTTTTCAAGCAACCAAGTCAATGTATTTAGTATATTAACTGGACACCTGGAGAAAAGGTGCTTGAAATAAATCAAATAACATCCTGTTGATCCCATGAGCTAAAGGATAGGAGAGCATGGGAGAGTTTTCATTTGAATTGTCTGAGGTTTGCCAGTTGTTTTTTTAAAAATTAGTACAGCCGCAGAGTACTGAATTGTCCCTACAATGTGCTCATTGGTCATACAATATCTAAAACCATTCGGACCCATTTCTGACTAAGGTCCTACCCATTCCCCTAACCTGCTTTATGATGGATCCTGGTAAATACCATTTTTATTCATAACTCCTTATAATTTCATGTCCTACTCGAATTGCCATTCCCACCACTTTTTCCTTACTACAAGAAGCTCTTGCCAACTGGCCCTAGTTCTTTTCCTCTCTTGGATAAACCAATCTCATCTCCCTTTGACACCGCTCACCTAGGCAGCGCTTAATAAGTGAAATTCTCAGGGCTCTGGGTTCAATCCCATCTCTATCAACCGGGCGGTTTGTGATCTCTGGCAAGTAGTCGGCTGGATACAATAGTGCCTCGCAGGGTTGTCGTGAAGATTAGATAAAGAACGTGTGTAACGTGTGAAGCGCCCAGCACAGAAAAGGCGCAGCCGAACCCCAGCCCTTCCCTTTGTTGGTTTCCATCTCCAACCAAAGAGCAACAGAACGTTCAGCACCACGCCTCTCCCGCCCTCGTCGCGGAGGATGTAGGGATTTGTAGTTTTTTGGTCCCCTAGTCGCGTTTCCTCTCGGAGCCGGACGGCGAGAGGAAGAACTACACGTCCCAATAGGCCGTGAAAGGAAATTGGGGCGCGGAAAACCGATCGTCCCCGCCCCGTCTTCGCTCTCGCGGCCCAGCGGCTGTGCCCACGGCGGGAGGGTTCAGACCCCGCTGCAAAGCCAGGGCCGAGCGCACGAGCAGATCCGCGGGGACAGTCGGGCGGGGCGGGAGAGCACAGCGGGTGGCCCCTCTGCCGCCTTGGGAGCTCGCGGGCGGAAAGGAGAGAAATAAAGCGAGCAAATTGTGAGCGCCCGTGTCGGAGAAGTGAGAAAGGGCAGGGGAAGCAGCAACGCACGGAGACCCTGGCTGCCACAGGGCTTGTCCTCCGGGAGGGACCCAGGGCGCTTCGCTGTCCCCTCCTCCCCGCGGGAAGCCTGGAAGCTGGCCGGGCACGGAGACTCCCGCCCGCAGCCCCCATCCCGGAGTCCGGCCCGCTTCGTGCAGCGCCTCCCCATCCTGTCGCCGGGGCACCCCCAACCTACTCCAGGGCAGCAGCAGAGCCCCCGCCACTTGAGCACGCGCCCCGCTGCGGGAGGGAGAGGAAGAGTCGGGGCGGGCAGGGGAGGGTCACCTCTCCGTGCCGGTTCCTCAGGTCCCCAGGAGTCGCCAGAATGGGTTTGCGTGTTGCTGCGTAAATGTGTGTCCCGAGGCGGCAGCGGCCGCCGGGAATAAACCGGGAGAAGCCGGGAAGCGGACAGAAGTCTGTGGGAATGCGCGCGGCGGGGCATCGGGTGCCCGGCCGGAGAGGCCCTCGGGCGATGCCGGAGGGAGTCCAGCGCCCGCCCCGGGGCCTCGCCTGCCCTGCTGGTGGGCAGGGGGGCGGGGACCCTTCCGAGCCCGTGCGGGCTTCGCCCGAGAGAAGGAGGAGCCGGAGGAGGAGCCCGGCGGGCGAGGCGCCGGCCGCCGCCCACCGGGCCGGGAGGAGGCGGATCAGCTCGGAGCGAGGCGTGCGCGCCGGGGCTCATCCTCGCAAACAAGTGTCTGTGGCGTTCGCCCCGCGGCCCGGAGACGCGCTCCGCCGCTCCCGGCGGCCCTTCTTGCGCCGGGCCTGGCTCCTATGGGGCCGGGGGGAACCAGGGAGCCCCTGGCAGCGCAGCCCGCGAGCCGCCGCCGCGACCCTCAGCCC